GCCCTGCGACACCTCGAAACCCCAGTGTCACGTGTGCTCCCAGCGCTCACCAGCACCCGCTGTGGGCCAGGGCCACGCACCAGCTCCCGCGCAGCACCACAGGTGCCCCCCACGCTGCTTCCAGACCTTTTGGGGGGATTTTTCTCCCTCTTGTTCCCGTTAACTCTGTCCACCACATAACCACTCAGCTTTACTGCCACTTAATCTGCTTCAAAACGTTCAGTATGAAGAACCCTTTTGAAAGAGCACAGAAATTCTCCCCCAGGTCACACCTCAGCATCACGTATCCCAGGGGCAGCCCCTCAGCTGGATGGCCTCAAGATATCACTCAGCTTGCTTCGAAAACTGCTAATGGCAAGAACTGTGACAAAACACCAAACACAGACTAAGACCATCAGCCTAGACCAAACAGGGAAAAAAGGATGTGAGTGACTTCCATCACTGTCTTACCTGGGAATCAGTGAGCTATGACTCATGAATAATTCTCTTCCATTACAGTTCACAGTATTTAATTTTTTTTTTTAATTATATCCAGGGTTTAGGATTGGTTTGGTGTTTTGTTTTTTTAATCTTCCAAAGAAACTGAGCAACAGAACTCTGCGCTCTCCAAAAGTAATGTTTTCAATGCCTACTTTAACCAATGCTATACTCACACTTCCTAATGAACACTAGGGCTGTATTTTCCTATGGGAAAAGACAAAGTCGCGTCATTTAAAGTATGTTGGGAAGAGGTGAAACACTCACCTGATTTACAAAAGAAGTGCCATGAGAAAGCTCACCTGGTTCCTGACATATATTCACACACAGAAAACTAAACTAAGATACTCAGACAAGGCGTTAACCTACCCCACAAACCCGGAGGGGCTTCTCTACTGAAATCAAGACACAGAGTTTAAAACCAGAGTCAGAACCTGTCAAAATATTTTTTGTTCATGTCTTTTCTGCTAATGTTAATCTCACGATATTCCACAAGCCTTCTGCCTTTTGCTGGCCTAAAGGCAGAGAGGGAAACAAGATGCTAAAGCTTTCCTTTCTCCTGTAAATTTGGTGATTTGACCCGTCAGATCAATTGTTCTTCCAGACATTTCACTAGTTTCCCTGTAACTCCTCCTTCCCAAGCCAGGCTCTTGGGAACCGACCTCTTTTGCCCCACGGACCGAGACTGGAGAGAGTGTTTCTTACTAGTGAGATGGATTGCACAGCATTCCCAGACTACACACGCTGTGACTTCTGACTGAGCCGGCCTGTGGCATCCCCCTCAGCTGACCTCTCCCCGCCTCAGGCTGCAGCTGGTGTGACTGGTGTTCTCTCCGGTACGGGCTCCCGTATCACGCCCACAGGCAAACACACACGACTCAAGCTTTCTGAAGCCACCTTACGAGACGTTTTCATAAGCAATCACATCGTACGCCGCACAAATTATTCAGATCAAGTCGCCTTTGTCAGAGACATTCCGATGAGCTCCCAGAAGCAGAGACGGTCTTTGCTGTCTGTATTCTGCTTCTAACAAAGGCAGCTCTGTTCCACCAGAAATGGCCTTGTCATGCCTTAGAAGCCTATCTGGTGGTTCTGCAGAGCTTCCCTTAAACATGTTCCAAGTCAAAGTTCCTAGATACAAGCTTTAAGCAATTTTGAATAAAGATATATTTTTAGCAGTTCACATTCTTCCACTCACCAAACTTGTCTGAGCAACCAAACCCCCTGTTAACTGCACTCATACTCAGATTTTGTATCTTTAAGTGAAGGAAAGGCTGGTTAACGTATAGTGTAATGGGATAGATGCTCAATTTCATTACAATTTTATAACAAAAAGATGGATTTTGCTACCTTGAAAATGGGAAGTGATAGTTTGGTGATATCAGGAAAGAGGCTTCTGTTTTAAAATCACTTTCATTATTTACACAAATGAGGTTGTAGAAAGCCAGCACAAAGTTTTGTTATAGTTTAACAGTATTGCATAACTCAGGAAACAGAATACTGTTTCATTTAAATCTAAAAAGGAGTTATGAATTCCATTTTTACTCTTATTAAAAAACCAAGTTCTTTAACCATTAGACTTTCCAGACAAGAAAGAATAAGATTATAATTTTCGGCTAGTGTGGTATTTTTCCATTCTTCCCTTTTTTTTCCCTCCCCTCCCACTTCCTTTGAAGACTATTAATCAAAAGGGTTGTAAGAATTCCCCTAAAAATATTGCTCTCCCCACACCCATCCCTGCTTTAAACTTTTTTAGTGAGAAAGTGGATTTAATGGTTTGGAAGGCTTATTCAACCTGGGGAAAAAACCCAACACAGCCCTATTCACATCACTATACCAGTACGGTCAGCAGTGTCTTACAGCAACAACCCGAACCAGAGGTAAAGTCAGCAGGCTAATGAAACCTTCGCTTTCTATTAAGCCACCTAAAAAAAGATGGCAATTACCCTCTAATCCATGATGGTTCTGTGACACCAACATTTGTCTAGCAAACCACGGGCTCAGGATACTTTACTTTTACAACCCGCAATGATGTAAGGAGAAGCCTTTGAACAGTACTGCTCCTTCGCAGCAAGGGCTCTGATAACCTGCACCCCCCGACCACACCGCTCCTGTTCAGCTCTCACTCCTGTCCAGGCAGACAATACCCAACTTCTAGCACAGTTCTCAACTCTAAGACAGACAAGCAAAAGGGAACAGGGGGATGGAGAAATGAAGGTATACCGAGTAAATCCAGATGTATGCCTATCATATGGCTCCGAAGTCAGGTCGGCACTTGACACGTTACGTTGGACTCTCTCACATGTAGGCTCCATGAAACAAGTATTACTGCATAAACTTCAGAAGACACAGTGCTGCGTAACAGATGTAAAATTTCAAGACTTTGTGGGGCTTCAGAGAAACAGAAGCCAAGAAGGGCCATTACCACGGCTGGGAAGATGAAACTTGAGAAGTTCCACAAAGGTAAACATGGGTTTAATGCCAAAGAACTCAGAACATCACAATTTCTACGAAAACAAAACAAAGGGGACAAAAGGGGAAAAAAAAAAAAGCTGAAAAGGTGGGAAGGGCTGACTCCAGAACTATTTCTAGCCTGACAGGCTCCTTATCCAACTACCAGTCCCATTTCTGAAATGAGGCTAGTATTTTTCTGTTCCACAGGTAAAGAGAGATACATCAGAGATAAACCGTGCTCTGGTTAAGGTCAATCAGTGCCTACACTAGGCCACACACATCCTTTAGCCACTGTGCTTGGCTTCAAACTGAAAATAAGGTACACAAGAAGCAGCGCAGACAGTTTTCTTTTTTAGTTACATAGGGACCACAGTAATCCACCGGCTGAAATTGCTGTTAACCAGGCCGGGATAACGAACAAACGGTAACAAAGCGAAGCCTCATTAAACAACTTTTTGAAACCAAGTCTGAAGTACTCGTAGCCCTGAAGAACACCGTGACTGCACAGACACCTGCACGGCCCCTGTTAGCTGACGCTGGCAGCAACCACCAGCACTCACACCCCAGACTTTGCAGCACTTGCACTGTGTGGGAACTGCCAGCACTTCCTTTGCCTTGGGCATGACTTCTGCGTGTCCGTTTTCCTTGTTACTGACTTTGTACTGAAGAAACTTACCAAAAGGGGGAAAAAAACCCCAAAGCAGCACAGCACAACCTATCTTCTTTGTAACAGAAATGCAAGTCCTGGTGCCAGGTGCCGTGGGACGCCCAGCACTGGGCCCAACCAGTCGAAGGCCGGCGCTGCTCACACAAAGGTCCCTTGGTCAAGTCACTGCACCCTGAGCGCTCAGTAGAAGCAAACAGCGATTCAACCGATGAAGGAAAACACTGGCAAGAGCCAGTTCTTAAGGGCAGGCGTGAAACTGTCGCTCAATTCTGAACAGTGTAGTAAGAGCAGACTAAGCTCAATCTGATAGGCTGTGAAGACTAGCTATGAACGCTTCATGCAGCGATGTTTAGCTCAGGAACTGTCTCCATTTGAAGGATGCTGATTCCTACTAAAACACACAATGTTCTTTCCTTCCCTACCAATTTTCAGAGCAACTAACACCCTGCCTACCCAATTTAAAGGCGAACTCAAACACAGTGGCAAGGTGAGCCTGTCAAACTCATGTGCACATCCACCGCTATTTCTGTTTCCCATCTTCCAACTAGCACGATAGCTCTGGAAGCAATGGTTACCACTCTGAAATGGTTACTTGAGATTCCAGTAAGAAACTTGCTTTTATGTTCAAACAGGTATTAAAATAACAACCGGCCACCTCCAGTCCAGCCTACCTGTAGGTCTCCTTACTACACCAGTACAGCCAGCAAAGTTCACAACTCTTCAACTTCAGAACTCGAGTACTCTGGCAAGAAAAGCTAAGATTTTCCCAAACAAGAGCAAGATGCCTTGGAGAACACGAGCACAGGCAAGGCAAATACTACCATGGATCAGATACCACTAACCAAAGCTCACTATTCAAGGAGCTGCCTGTGAGGTACGTACGGAAAATGTAACCCCAATCAACAGGGGCTTACTGGTGTTACAAACCCAGAACCTACAGTTCACAAAATAAACCCTTAGCTGTCTGTGTTACCTGAAATAATTCTTTAGCACTGCAGAGCACGTGTATTTTGGTGCTCTCAAGGAAGAGCGAACCAAATTCCATTCTAGTTTATTTAAAGCTTATAAAAACCTAAGACTCTGCATATTAACACGCGCAACGTTTGACTTCTTAAATTGTCAGGCCCAAATTTTCACTGAATTTGCTACCTCGCAACTGTTACTTCATTTTGTGGTAACACTAAAGACACTATTTTGTATACTACATTCCATTGCTTGCTTGAAAGATACTTTGACTATCACTAATCACACCTTAGGTATAATTTAAAAAAAAGTATTGTAAATAATTTAAATTTATAATTACCAAATTTTAAATTTATAATTACCAAATTTTAAATTTAAATTTATAGATGTTAAAAATGTGTAATTGTTTTTAAATGCAGAAATGCATTGCTACACTTACTTTTTGCTTGCTTCATAAACATCCGTGATATTGGAGAAAAGGTGATGGCTCTCTGTTTTGGTCATTGTGAGGCTCAGTTCCCTGGAATTTTTAAACATCCGGATCAGAATCTCCAAGCTCAGCAAGTAAGAATGTTCAGAAGATATCACCTCAAATATTGCCTGCAAAGCGGAGGGAGGAAAGAAAAGACTTACTATTGACTAGGCCTTTCAAACAAATAAACAAGCAACCAACAAAAAATGCCAAAGGAATACGTGGAGGAGGGGTGCAAGGCGAAGTTACCAGATGTAAGCTAGAGATCGTAACGTGAATATCCACTTTATGACAGGTGCGCCATTTACTCAGAAGTAAGTTATTTAGTACTAGAAGAAAAGACTTCTAAAAAAGTCTATATTCGGACTTTTCAATGCAACTGAAAACAGAGTTTGAAAACAAACCACACCAACTGTGATCACTCCCCATTCATACTCCTGAGAGGTGCGCTTGGTTCTGGGGTTTTTTTGTTTCTTTCTTTCTTTCCTTTTGTTTGTGGGGTTGTTTTGTTTCTTTTTTAATTAAAATTGTGGGGGTTTTTTTAAATTTAAATTTCTGTGGTTGGAAGCTTCAGATCAGCCCCATTCCCGCTGACAGCCAGGATTTCCTTCGCTCTCTCTCAACAGAAGCTGCCAAGTCACGTCCTGGGAGGTGTTCTCGGCTAACAGCCCCCCGCTCGCCCCGTGCCTGCAGGAGCCCCCTGCACGCTGCAGGTTCAGTCCCGCGCCCGCAGCAACACCGCGGCTCCTTTCAAGACCCCAAGGCCGGAGCGGGCTCAGGAGCGGACAGGAGGGGGCGGCCGGCGCTAACCGCTC